ATAATTCCTGGACGGCTGCTACTCGATTAGCGACAAACGGCTTCCGTCGAGAGGGGTGACCTCTTAACCATGCCAGGACCACCTCGGCGTCCGTCCATGCGTAGATATTATCCGTAGATATGCCAAGCCCTTCTGCGGTAAGTCGTAGTAATCGCGCCATTAGCAAGACGCCGCATAGCTCCAGACGTGGTATTGAGACTGGCTTCACGGGAGCTACCTTAGTCCTTGCGACCAGAAGGCTCACTCTATTGGTCCCAAAGGATTCACTGGAGGCACCACGCACGTACACTGCGGCAGCATACGCCCTTGTCGAGGCGTCCGAAAACCTATGCAACTCGATTGGGTAGTCGTCTGAAACACTCGTCCACCTTGGAACGGTCAAGTTATCCAAGTCGGAGAGAGTAGATGCAAACCTTAGCCAGAAGTCCCTTAACCTTGGTGGAAGGTCCTAGTCCCACTCCAACCCTGCAATCCAGAGATCCTGTAGCAATATCTTGGCGGTTATCAACACAGGGGCCGCCCAACCCATTGGGTCGAAAAACCTCGCCAGGTCAGAGAGGATACGGAGGCGTACAATGCCCTGGAAAGGGCAAACTGGGCAACCAGCACCGATGGAAGAGTAGCCATCTACAGACGCGAAACTAGGACCTCCCCGCCATGTAATGTATTATGGGCAGGGGAGGGGCACGTCGGCGTTTCTTGGGGGCAATTGGTGGTGGCTGGCATCTACATTTCACCCAATATCGCGGCCACGGAATACGAGGCCAAACTAGAGGCCCTGTCGCGCAAGTTGGGTAAATGCCAGACACCATCAAATGTAATAGTCCTGGGGGATTTCAACGCCCACTCGGGCGTTTGGGGATCCCCCAAAGAGGACTGGAAAGGAAAGGCAGTCCTGGCCTGGGCGTCGCAGCGGAACCTCGTGTTGATTAACACGGGAGACACTCACACCTGTGTGAGGTCGCAGGGGAGGTCTATAATAGATTTAACGTGGGCAACCCCCTCTGCGGCCGGATTAATCGAAGGGTGGAAAGTGGAGACGGAGAGAGAAACATTATCCGATTACCGGTATATAACCTTCTCTGTCTCCGCCTTTAAACGGGAGGTGCTGCGGCGCCGCAAGGCCTTGGACAGCCTTCAAAGAAGATGGGCCCTAAAGAAAATAGACGTCGACCGATGGATGGCTGCCGTTATCGGTGCTGGTGCAACAATGGAGGGATTCAATGGGTGGGATCTGACCACACAACAAGAAAGGCTGTCGCAGGCCGTTGTACAGGCCTGCGATATAGCCATACCAAGGGTCAGGTCCCTTCCATCAAAATGTATGTACTAGTGGTCGGAAAAGATAGCGGAGCTGAGGCGTACTTCCGACCACCAAAGAAGGAGGATCAATAGGAATCCCGAGGATCCAAACTACGAGGAAGGATGGAGGGCGTACCGAGCCGCACGAGACGCCCTCCGTATAGCAATAAGGAACGCGAAGGCGAGGTCCTGGGAGGAGCTTCTCCTCTCCCTAGATAAGGACCCGTGGGGACGTCCGTACCGTATGGTGCTGAAGAAGCTTAAGGGAGCGGCGTCCCCCTTGACGGAGTCCTTGGACCCCCATTTCGTCCAACAAATAGTGAACATCCTCTTCCCGGTCATGCACGCGGGCATGCACCCTATGTGTGACAGGGAGTTTGACTGGGAGGAGGAAGAGATGGGGGTCACGGGGGAGGAGCTCATGGGCGCCATCAAAGGGATAAAAAGCGGAAAAGCTCCCGGTCCCGATGGCGTCCATGGAAAGCTGTGGGGCCTCGCCCATAAAGAATTAGGGGAGGAGATGAGGCAGCTGTACAACAGCTGTAAAACTGTTGTACAGCTGCCTCAAGGAGGGAAAATTCCCCCCAGCCTGGAAGAAGGCGAAATTAGTCCTTCTTCCAAAGGAGGGAAAGTCGAGGGACCAGCCTTCCGCATACAGGCCGATTTGCCTGCTCGACGAGGCGGGGAAAATCCTCGAAAGGATAATCCACCGCCGTCTCGTTGGGCACTTGTCTCGGAGTAGATCCACAAATCTGCACGAGGAGCAATATGGCTTCCGCACCGGGCGGTCGACAATAAACGCGATTAGTCGTGTCCGCTCGGAGGCGGAGGCCACTATGGAAAGGGGCGGGGTGTTGTTGGCGGTATCGTTGGATATCTCCAACGCTTTCAACACCCTGTCCTGGCACCGGGTATCCGAGGCGCTCGACATACACGAGGTGCCCGGATACCTGGCAGCCATTGTAGTGGACTACTTCCGGGACAGGACGATAACATATATCGATGGAGAGGCAAATGTATGCGAGAGGGCAATGTATTGCGGGGTTCCGCAGGGATCAGTACTCGGTCCGCTCCTGTGGAACCTCACATATAACTCGGTCCTTCGGACCAACCTCCCCCCGGCTGTAAAGCTATCTGTTACGCGGATGATACGCTGATACTGGCCGGGGGAAAAGACTGGGGGAGAGCAAAGGCGTTAGCGGAGTTGGTTGTGGGACGGGTCGTGCGCAGCGTTAAAGAACTAGAACTGAGGGTGGCGCCCCAAAAGACAGAAGCTGTCTACTTCTACAATGGACGCAAAGGGGCGCCACCCAGGACGGAGATAATGATGGAGGAAACCCCTGTCTTGGTGGGGACTCAGATAAAGTATCTGGGTCTCTATTTGGATGGGAAGTGGACCTTCCGCGAACACTTCAACCGGATCGCCCCGAGAGTGGAGCGGGCGGCGATATTGCTAAGTCGCCTCCTGCCGAACCTCAGGGGGCCGAATGCGGGTGTGCGCAGGCTGTACGCCGGGACAGTCCACGCGATGGCGCTGTACGGATCCCCAATATGGGTGGCAAAAATGGAGGCCACCCGCAAACTGCGGGACACCATGTGTCAAGTGCAAAAGCGGGTGGCAAACCGCGTGTGTCGGGGATACCGTACGGTGAGCTGGACAGCCGTGGGAGTGACGGAAGGGATTCCCCCCCTGAACATCCTGGCTAACATGCACTCGCATGTATACTGGCGATTGCGGGGTATTCGGGAGAAGGGGATAATTTCCACGGCAAGGGACCGGCGTGCATTGAAGGTCCACGCCCGGCAGGACGCTGTCGACCAGTGGATAGAGCTCTTGGAGAGACCGGGGCTCCCGGGGCAGCGGACTGTCGGGGCCATCCGGCCCTGTCTACGCGAGTGGATAGACAGGGCCAAGGGAGGGGTTACATATAGGATGGCACAGGTGCTTACCGGGCATGGTTGCTTTGGTGAGTACCTGTGCCGTATCGGAAAGGAGCGCACGACCCGTTGCGTCCATTGCGGGCACAAGCGGAACGATGCGCAGCACACACTGGAGGTGTGTGCTGCATGGAACGAAGAAAGGAGGGAGCTCGTGTCCGCGGTGGGCGCGGACCTCTCGCTTCCGGCCGTAATTGCGGCTGCGGTCGGGAGTGAGAACAAATGGAAGGCCTTCTCCTCCTTCTGCGAAAGTCATGAGGCAGAAGGAGAAGAGGGAGAGGGAGCGAGAACGGGAGGGACAGAGGAGAAGGCCTCCCAATGAGGAGGGGAGCGAAAGGGAGGACAAGGATGTGAATAGGAGTCAACTCCCCCCCCCCTCAAAGAACGGCGTCGGACACGGAACACGGCGCCGACATAGATCCGGGATGAAATTAATGGGAGGGGGGTGGGGTGGGATGTACATACCGTCTCGTCCCCATCTCCCCTCCCAAGCCCGGAGAGAGGGATATAAAAAAGGGAAGTGATAGAGAAGGTGGTGGAAGCGGGGGGGGGTCTCCCCCGGTGTAGCCGTGTGAGACCCTCCCCCCTGCGGGGAGGCGGGGGCTGCCGGCTGCCGGCCGTGGGACCTAGGTCCCTCGGCCGGCGGATGGACGGCCCTCCGCCTTCCCAGGGTGCCGGCCTCTCTCCTCCCCCTGTGGGGGAGGAGAGATGCTGGCCTTTTTCCTCCCCGGCGGTGGTGGCCGGCCCTCAATTCCCTTTGGGACAGAGGGGGGCCCCCATCAACGGGGTTGTGGGGGTTAGCGCCGTCGGGCCTTAGGGCCCGGCGTCGCTGACCGCCCACGCGTGGGAGGGACGGGGGTGCCTGGCCGCTTGCCCGCCCGCCGGTGACTCACAAGAGTCGGCCGGCGGGGGGGGGTGGGCGGTCCTGCGCCCTCGTCCAGCCGGGGTCTCTTCAAGGAGAGACCCCGGCGTTAACGTCGGGTGCCGGCGGCCGAGCCTTGAATCCCTTTTGGGGTAGGGGTGGTTGCCACGGCACCCGGCAGTGGGGGGGGGGGGTTTAGGCCTCGGCCTGATTCCCATTGCACGCGGTTCCCCTCCCGCGAGGGAGCGAGGGTCTGTCGCCCTCCCGCCGAGAAAGATGCCCAGGGTCGGGCATTCTCGGCCGGAGGGAGCAACCCTCGCGAGAGAAGTCACCTCCCCCCAGAGGTGGTTTCCCTGAGAGGGCTCCCCTCGGTTGGCGGTCGAATTCGGCTACCCTTCGGGTGCCGGGGGGAACCCCAAGGGGGGCGGGGGGTGACGGCCCGAGCGGGCATACTCGTGTCGTGACCCCGCCCCCCAAAACCAACGGGAGGGCGCGGCGTGGGGTTGATACCGCCCTGCGTCGCAACCGCGAAGACCTGCACTTGCGGGGGGAAGGGTGCCGCCTTCAGCGGCAACCTTCCCAGGAGGAATTAATCCGGGGGGGCGGCTAGTAGGCATGGGATACCAGCATCCTGGCCGCCCCCTAATAACGCCCGAGAAGGTATCCGTAGTGGTTTTAGTGAGGTATGTCTTGCGCCCCCTGACCAATCCATTCGTGGATCGGCCAAGGGGAGCAAGAAGTCCCACATAACCACCCGCCCTCTACCCGGAGGGCGGGGGTATCCATGAGGATTTCCATTACGTAAAAAAAAAAAAAAAGGTCAGAGAGGATCGACCTCTTGGTGGGATTTCGGACCGAAGTCAAATTCGGAACTGCTCGCAAGTGAAGAGCATTCTCGTCAGGAGTCCAGAGCACCCCTCGTGTCCCCACGCTGTTTGATGCCCCGATAAGTCGTTCCTCTTGATTTCCTTCTGGACATAGTGATGGGTGTGTGCTGGCCCATTTGCTCAATTGCTGCGAGGATGTCCACTATTTGTTGTCTCAGCTTTAGAGCCTTTTCCATCGTGTTTGCTCCTGCCAGTACGTCGTCCACGTATATGTTGGACCGTATGACACTCGCGCCGAGTGGAAATCGCTCCCCTTCATCTAGAACGAGTTGCTGCAGCGTGCGAATGGCCAGATATGGTGCCGACGTCGTACCGTAGGTGACGGTGGTGAGTCTAAAATCCTTTACTTCTGTAGCAGGGGGGTGTCCGCCAGAGGATCCGCTGGAAATCCGTGTTGTCTCGATGTACGCGTATTTGGCAAAACATCTTAACAATGTCCGTCGTGAATGCAAACTGTACTAAACGCCAGCGAGACAGCACCAGCCAGAGATCCATTTGTAATCTAGGCCCAGGCAGAAGCGTTTCGTTCAAGGACACACCTGTCGATGTTCCGAAAAAAGAGTTGAAGACTACTCTTATTTTTCCAGGCGGGTCCGTGGCTTTGATGACGGCGTGGTGTGGCATGTAGTACACTTCTCCTGTAGCCACTCCCTCGTCCGGCACTGGCTCCATATGATCTAGGGAAAGATAAGAATTTATAAATTCGTTATAGCTATTTTTCAGTAGAGTCTCGCTAGACACCGCTCGGCTGTCAAGAGCTGTTGCAGAGCCCCTGGTCGGGAAGCTCCGAGTCCGATCGACGGATTCCGTTTCCGAGGAAGATGCACTATGTATCGTCCCTGATGGTCGCGAGCATCGGTTTCTTCAAACAGTTGCTCGCACAGGTCTTTCTCTGGTGTGAAGATCTTCGCCGCTGGCATTTCCTCCAGCTTCGAGAAGCGAAGCAGATCCCGTTGTATATCAGTTATAACCGTAGTGGATGGACGTTCACACCGGTCGGTAGCGCATCCGCCGGTCCCACAAAGAGGCCCATGAGGACCCATCCGAATACGGTTTGTTGAGCGGTTGGCTCACCAATGGGCCCTCGCTTGATACCATTCTCGAGTATCATACCCATTACATCTACCCCGAGGATGGCAAGCTGTAGACCCTTTAAATAAGGCCAATCCCCCTTTAGAATCCGCTTCCCTGGAGTGATCGTGGTGAGTTTAGCTAATACCAGCGCCCTCGGTAGTGCAATTCGCAGAGACGGTGATCGATCAGAGCCGATCATCAGAGCGACCGCTTGAGTTGCCTTTCCTGTTGTAACATCCTGAAGTCCGGAGACGGTGACATTGACTCGTTTCCGAGCGAGCCTCAGCTGCTGCACCACTCGTTCCGAGACAAACGATGCCTCCGACCCTGAGTCCAACAAGGCCCTGACCGTAACTGCGCGTCCAGATTCTCCAATTAGTTTGATCAGTGCTGTCGTAAACAGTACTGTGTTGGATACTAAGCTGGATAGCGCGGAAACATTTGTCGATTCTTCCGAGGGCCCGGTTTAGAAAGCGCATCGCTCGTCTCGATGGGTTCTCTTGTGCCTTGTTGCTACGTCACCTCGGTTTCTGTAATGTGCAACAGGGAGTGATGCTTTTCATGGCAATGACGGCATCGATTAGTCGATGGACATGAGCCCACCAGATGTCCTTGCCCTAGACAATTAAAACAGACCTTCTTCTTCCGCACTTGTTCACGACGCTGATCGGCAGTGCAGGCCTTGAACCTTGCACAGGTCCTTATCGTATGCCGTTCCTTGCACACAGGACAAGAGGCCTTTCCTTCATCGTTCCCGGTAGAGGTGGCATGAGACGAGACATCATCCCTGCGTCCCGTTTTCTTAGGCGTGGCCAAGTTGAATGCCGGTAGTGATGCCCGCGGCCCCGCAGCATCCAATGCCTTTGCGCGAGTGAGCAGAAAATACTTCAGATCCTCAAAGGTCGGAAAGTCTTGATTTGATTTTGAAAAAGACTCCCATAGTAATCGTGTCGCATGGTCTAGTTTGTCCACTAGAATGTGCACAAACCAGTCGTCCCAGTGTTCAACTGGCCCTTTTAGTGCTTGAAAGGAGCGAGCTGCTTGATTGGCTGTACTCAGCAAGCGCCCGATCTCTGCAGCTGTCGACTTCACGATCGGCGTACTAGACAAGAGCAGTCGCATATGTGTTGCCATTAAAACACTCCGGTTATCATACCGCGAAACAAGCTCGTCCCACGCGAGCGCGTATCCTTCCGTCGTAATCTCAATATTGGCCACGATGGCCGCCGCTTCTCCGGTGAGACTTGCTCTCAGATATTGAAGCTTTTGGGTCGGAGTAAGGCCGTCGACGTCGTAAACTAGAGACTTAAATAAATCTCGAAAGCCTTCCCATGCCAATTGATTACCGTTAAATGTCGGAAGACTTATCTTCGGTAGCTGAATCTGTTTGAGGACGGAGGACGCATCGCTTTTTCCCACCGCGGAATCTACTAATTTTGCCGGCGGCATGATAGACACGATTCGAGATTTTACTGCCACGTAATTGTCTTCTGTTGCTCCGTAGATATCCTTCCTTATATACTCGGAGGCATCCACATTTTCAAATGAGAGAATTTGATCATGCGCATCCAGAAACCGTGACCAGTAAGTCTCGAGCAATTCGAGACGAGTCGCTAAATAAGTACGCGTCACTTTGTCTTTTCCGATCTTTATAGAATTTTCCCAGAAACGCTCTATATATCCGACTGTGAGTAATTGTTTTTTAATAGCAATATCCATGTCGGAGCAGTGCAGCGAGTCTTGAGCGCGCGTGAAAAAAGGGAATCACACAGCTGATCGCTGATGCGGAGCAGCGGGCGCTCGAACTGAGGGCAAAGAAAGCGCGGAACAGCGAGCTCTCCAACCGTAGGCGAGGAAAGCGCGGAGCGCGGTACGCGGCACTGTGCGAATTAGTTAGTTTAATAGATAAAATAGAGCTGCACTAGTAACCAACTGTTACCGTGCACAATGTCCCAGTATCCACCCACGGGCATCCGGCTCGAAGGACCAATGTTCTCGATTCTCCGTTCGGAAAGCTCCGATAAATCGGCTGTAGGTTGATTTGTGAAGACGAGGATGTCGTGGATGGATCGTAGAGAGGAAAGATCACGCGTCACCGCACTCAGAGCTTCACTTCACGGATTATATTTTATCTAGGCTCAATTACAAATAATTTAATTGACGGTATTCGATTGCTCTCGAATGCTTGTTATTCTCGCAGTTCTGGCAGGCGAGACCGGCGACTAACCGCCGGTAAACCCCGCGTAGGAATTCGCGGAGCCTCATTCTTTTGCCCCGAGCTCCTCGATCCACCCGTTGACAAAGGGAATAGACTCCGCGATATAGAATAAACCGTGTCGCAAAATATCGTCACGGTGACTCCTTATACAAAGATGTTTTGATAGCATCTGTTTATGTGACGACTCGATCTCGATCATCACCGGTGCGCGCTAAATCGATTTGCGAACACTCTTGGTTTGAGATCACTATATTTCACTATATTACAAGTTCCATATATAAATTAATCTCGAAACTTACATATGGAGAAATAGGCGCGAAAAATATAGGTCCGAAAAGTCGCTAAATTAAAAAAAAACATCATATTTATAAAAAAAATAATATTCTACTAACGATCTACTAACAAAGGCTGAAGAAATAGGATCTACTAACGTGGCTGAAGAAATAGCTTATCGGGTAAGCACGCCAAGTATAGAACACATCGCTTGTTCGAAATCGAACCATCCAAATTGAAAACGCTGCAAAACTAAAAGCATTAATAATGCCATGCATTATTCTCATGCATCATGCCACAAGCAATTAAAATTAAATTGTAATTTTGCATTATGTAATAAGCGCTCGGCCGCAGGGATACGTTTACCCCGCTCTTGCGAAAAGAAGCGATCGCTCTATCTCGCTTTAAAACGACGAAATAAACACCGCGGTCGCGCGAGAGGAGACAAAAAATACATGTACTAATAACAAATATTCACCAGAGTACAAATAAACAATTACACGAGAATGTTTTTATTGCCCTTAACCGAACTATCGAATGTTCTAAAACTTCGCGAATTTTTTCGAATCTAATGCCTATATAACTCTTCTCTCAAGCGCCCATGGTGCTCTTTCCGTTTGGCTAGTCGACGCAAACAGAGTGCGAATCTTAAACCGAAAAAACGTGATAGCTTGTCTCTTTTTTCGTGCACTTTCTCCGTTGCTTGCAAACCGCTATACAATTATATTCTCGACTCGGCTTTTCGTTTATGGTTAATTCTTCTCGGTTTATTAAGTGTAACTTTTTTTGATGTGTTAGTACAATAAATATCTTTGTGTTAACGTTACGCGTGCGCTCGTGTGAAGTGAACTTTATTCCGACCAGCTTCCGATTCCTTAATCCGCATTCCGTCTTGCACATTATTTTGGTTCTTCGAGCCGGATCTTCTGGAACTTCCTTCTACGTTCAGTGCTCATGGACGCGGTTGTGAACAGTGTCGGGAACTTTTGCACCTGAAAGACAGAACGAGTAAGATATGACGAACACAAAGACAAAGTAAAAGGTATTATACAAACAGACAAAGTAAAAGGCGTTGAACAACAAAAAATAAAAGTCACTGTGTTATCTATATCTTCAGTATTCAAGGAAACCTTATTTTGGCCATCGGCATTTCACGAAGCGAATTCCAAGGAAACGAATCGTGTTCGTAGGCGTAAAGAGAAAGTTCCAGCTGTTGTTAGTTCATTGCAATGGAAGGAATATTATAAAAAGAAAGAAAATAAGAAACAAGAAATATTTCTACAAAAAGAAGAAAAAAAGGAAGCGTGAAGAAGAAACAAGAGAAATTTTAGAAATAAAAAGAAAAAAGCAGGAAGCCGAAGAGAAAAAACAGCGTATTTCCAAAGAAGCTAAAGAAGCTCAGAAAGGTCAAGATGCTTAAGTTCAAAAAGCTAAGAAGACTAGTCAAAAAAGACTGCACGCAAGAAAAAAAAATTTTAACGTTTGGGAAATAATTATTTCATTTGGAAATAAGTTTCAAATACGCTTAGTGGACATCAATTGGACAAATTTTATATTTTTTATTATTTATTTTTATTTTTTATTTTTTATTACTGCTATCGTTTGAAAATTATTTGGGCAAATTTAGGAATGTTTGCATAATTTAGAAACTCATAGTTTATTTATAATTAGAGAAAATGAATTTAGAGCGAATAGTTAGTAGACATAACTTTTTTTTATGTAATCAATTTTATTTAAGATCACCGTCGTTTGTCCTTTGTCAGCCTTTGTGACAATAATATCGTCGTTATCTTTTAGAAATTTTTTGACTCAGCAAAACATCTAAGAATATATTTGTACAACCGGCTCGCGAAAAGTCGCCCTTTACGCACATGATGGGATTTTAGAAAGGGCTCCCTTTCCACGCATCGGTCACACAAAATATCGTAGCCAACATGTGCGGGTCATAAATCGGCCGATCGTGCGGATTGTTACACTCGGCTTCGCCTCGTGCGCCAAACTTCCGCACTCTTGGGGGATTTACGATCCCCCGTACTTGTTAGCTAATATACTATTAATTGATATATAAGTGACATGTATGTGCAATCGTTAATTTAATTTTTAAATTTAATTAGTTAATTAATTTATTAATTTTAAAACAAATATAATATAATTACAATTGTTAATAAAAATAATAATTAAAATAATAATTCGTGTGTGTCCGAACTTTTCTATCATTCGTAGATGCGATAGTTAAACACGTGGCCCCAGACAATATGCATGTCTTAAAGATATACTTAAGAACGTCTTTTTTATGACGTCTTTCAGACTTTACCAAAAGACGTCTAGAAGACATCTTAAAGGCATTTAATTTAAGACGTCTTTTTTAAATGTATAAGCGGACATGGAGACATCCCCAATGTTTTCCTTATAACCTAAATACATCCTCAGATTTTACACGAATAAATTCTCTAAGAATGGATATCTGAATATCTGATGGACACATCTCGGATTATAAAACTTTTTTGCTATATGGGAAGAGAAGCGCACCTTATTGCCTTGTCGCGCGCTTTTATTTAAAAATATGTTTTAATTTAATCTTAAAAAAATAATATAAAATAAAATTTGTCACCTGGGTATCGATTGTGTAACTTTTTCTAAAGTGAAAACGTAAAAAGTGAAAAAATTCTGCTAATTATTGCACGCATTAATTTTAAAATGAAATCGATTTGTGATTAGAAGACATTTTTAATAATTTTTAATAATTTGATTACGACACTAATTTCAAAATCAATGCAAAAAATTACCACAATCATGCCAGAGTATTAATATATCTGTAGCAAAAACATTGAAAAACTCTTTTTTACTGTTTGCAACTAATTTTTAAAAACCAAAATATATCTTTAAAATCTTGATTTTAAATGTATTTTTAAAGGTATACTTTAAACGAAGTAAATCCAATCATGTATCGTAAATAAACACGCATAACATACGAAGCAATAATGCCCCATAAGCAAGTTTCTTTTTAGTTCAGAACTATAAATCGATTTATACTCGAGACTAACCTAAGAAGTGTTCTTCAGCTTCTCTTGGCTTGCTGACTGCATCTAGCTCTCTCGCCAGATGCGTCATTTGAAGTAGGTCCGGCCGATGTTCTCGGCGATCAGCCTGATCATGTCGCTATGATTCCCGTCTTGCAATACATCATGATTGCCGCATCATGATCGCCGATAGCGACGTAGAGCGCCTCAGCGTGACAAAATTCACCGACCTGTTGCAAGCTCTTGGCATGTCTAGCTAGCACTTAATTGGCTTTTTCGCTCTTTATGTATTCCTGAGCCACTTGGTGCACGCGCATCCAGTCGCCTAACTGTACATGAATTTTTACGGCGCGTTGCGCATTTCCGGCGCGTAGAGGCAAAGAGGCTTTCCGCCAAGTTTCGTTCGCCGATCGACAAAAAATATTCACCCAATTTTTCGCATTGCTGACGGATCTCATCGTCATCCTCAATTACCTGAGAGAAAAAGAGAAGACAATAAAGAGATATAACAAAAGATCTAAAAGTCTGATTGCAAGAAAATAAGTAAATTCAAAATAAATATTGTAAATACTTAGGTCGCGAAAAAAAATTTTTTTGCATCCTATTTTATTTTCTTTTTCTTTATTTTATCTTACATAAGGCAAATATTTAAAATGCAATTAGTATACCTGTGTAATCTGAGAAGCTTTTCTCCATTGTAGCGCGTTAATAGTGGCGTTTAACGCTAATAAAGTCTCTTCCGCTTCGATAAAATGATTAATGGCGGCATCGGAGTAACCATTCGCTGCCAAATGTTTTCCCTAATTTCTTTCAAGCTCGACTACCAAAGTGGGGTCAACTTTGCGCGCTAAATTAAGTGCTCTGGTAAACACGCCCGCTTGAGCGTAGCAATTGATCGCTTCGGAATCAGCGTTGGTTTTCTCTAACAGTTCTCCAGCGAGTTCTATGAGATCAGTAGAGTAGCTTTGAAGCCATTAATAATCTCCTCAATGATTTGCTCGTCCTCCAGCAGTTTATTATCGGCGAGAACTAGTCTAGTGGCTCGCCCGGGGTGACGTGCTTCCAAGTAAAGCTTAACTGCTCTTCGGGGATTTGTGGTCCCTATGATGGACGCTGCGCGAGCTGCTTGACCGCTATCTAGCCAAATGACGGTCCCGCAATTCTGACAAATCGCTCCAATTCTGGACTCTGGGCCAAGTTCAAAGCGT